GATAGACACCAGAGAGAGCAAGAGATTATGAGCTCCTGAAAAAATAGAAACCACAAATTTATCTAATTAGGAATTACATGCACAAATCCAGCAGAAGCACACCTACAGAAAGTTTTGAGAGACTCCCGGTTAAAGGATATAATGACTGAACGAAAAAATTCATTAGAGGGATTAAACAGAAAAAAAAATCATAAAGTGGGGCCCAGTGGCTCAGTCTGTAATCCCAGCACTTTGGAAGGCCGAGGTGAGTGGATTGTTTGAGGCCATGGGTTCAAGACCAGCCTGGGCAACTTGGTGAGATCTCATCTCTACAATTAGTCACACACACACAAAAATAGCACGGCATTGGTAGTGCATACCTGTAGTTCTGGCTACTTGGAAAGTTGAGGTGGAAGGATTGCTGGAGCCCAGCAGGTCGACACTGGGTGGTCGTGAGTGTGCCACTGCACTCCAGCCTGGGCGACAGAGTGAGATTCCAATTAAAAAAAAATCATTGAACTTAAAGAAAGTCATTTGAAATTATCTAATAAATAATAATAATAATAATAATAATAATAATAATAGTGTTGAAAACTAAGGGACTTAAAGGACACCTTTAAGGAAACCAATATACATATGTGAGAGCTTTAGAAAGAGAAGAGAAAAAAATAAAGGAATAAAGAAAACTCACTTAAAAAGTTTTCCAAATATGATGAAGAATAGAAATTTAGATTAAAGAAGCCTAATGGACCTAACTAGGATAACTAAAGAAGTAAATAAAATAAAATAAAATAAATCTGTGCCAAGTCACATAACAATCTAGTTGTCAAAAGTCTAAGCCAAAGATAAAATATTGAAAGGAGCTAAAACAAAAAATCTCATTATGTTAAAAAAAAAAAAAAAACTCCAAAAGACTATCCATAGATTTTTTTTTCAGAAGAAAATTTGCAGGTTAGAAAGAAGTAAAAGATGATTTATTCAAAGTGCTGAAAGAAAAAAAAAATCCTACCAAGCAATACTGTACTCAGCAAAACAATCCTTCAAAAATAAAGGAGAGACAAAATTTTTCTGAGATAAAAGCAGAGAGATTTTATCACCATTAACCTTGATTACAAGAAATGCTAAAGGGAGTGCTTCAAGTTGAAATGCTAAGATGCTAATTTGTAACATGAAAACATATGAAAATAAAAGCTTTCTGATAAAGGTAAATATATAGACATACAGAATACTGTAATACTGTAAAGCGATGTGTAGATTACTCTTAAAAGTATGTAAGTTAAAAGGCAAAGTATTAAAAAGTATCACAATGTAAAAGGTTAGAAATACACAAAAAATGAGGTAATTAGTGACATCAGTAACATAATAAAGTGTGTTGGAGAAGTAAAAGTGTAAAGACTGTGTGTGATTGAATTTAAGTTATCAGCTTAAAATCAACAGTTAGAATTACAATATGTTTTATTTAAGCCTCATGGAAATCAGAAGGAAAATATCTACAGAAGATACACAAAATAAAACAAGAAAGAAATCAAAGATAGAACATGACCAAGTAGAATTTATCTTAGAATGCAATCATAGTTCAACATATTAAAATCAACCAATCTGATACATCATATCAAGAACAAAAAGGATAAATACCACATGATCATCTCAATAAGTGCAAAAGAAGCCTTTCACACAATTCCATATCCTTTTATGGTAAAAAGTACTAAAATAAAATTATCTTGATGAAGTAAAGGCTATGTCTAAAAAGCTCATAGCTAACATCATACTCAGCAGTGAAAAACTGAAAGCTTTTCTCTAAGTTTAGGAACAAGGCAAAATATGCCTAGTATTGCCACTTTTATTCAACGTAGTACTGTAAGTCTTAGCCAATACACTTAGGCATGGAAAAGAAATAAAAGGCAACAGACAACCAATTAAGTACCATGCTCACCACTTGGATATGGGCTCAATAGAAGCCCACACCTAACCATCATGAAGTATACCTATGTATCAAACCTGCCAGGACGAGTGTCCCTTGAATCTACAAACAAACAAACATAGAAATAAAACACATTTAAGGGAATTGTTTGAGTCTTTACCTGTAGACCTTTCATAGTATTTTATATTGATGATCTTCACATTCTTTTAATGCTACTGATTACCTCCTTATCAGAATATCTTTGATTGCTTTTTACCCTCTTGGTATTCTATTCTGTTCTGGTTCTTATTATTTTCTTCATATTCTGTTTTCTGTAATGTAAAATTTCCTGAAGGTTATGAAAAATATATTTTATTCTATTTCTTTGGGTGGTTTTTATGATTGCTTAGCTACACATTAAAATCTAAGAGATGTTACATATTCATCTCAAAACAAAATTTATTTCATCCTTTTCTACTACTATCTCCTCTGGGACACAGTATAATCATTAATGTGGTACTAGAAACTTGTGGGGCAGGGAGGAGAGAATCTTGGTTTATAAAGGTGACCATCTTTGCTGTTTGACATTTGTTACATGTTGTTGAACCCTCTGATGCAAGAGGACTCAGAACAGTCCACCCCACAGACAGCAAAGTTACTTACACTGCTTTTTAAGTATTGGGACTTAATGCATTCCCTCTTGAAATCCCACTGCTATTGTCTGGATGTGTCTTCCAAAATTCATGTGTTGGAAACAATCTCCAAGGTAATAGTATTGAGAGGTGGAGTCTTTTGGTAGGTATTCATAACTTCATGAGTGGATTGATGCCATTACAAAAGGGCTTGGTGAAGGGAGTTTCACCCTTTAAGTGCTCTTCTGTCTTCTGCCATGTGAGGACACAGCGTTCCTTCCCTTTGAAGGATACAGCATCAAGATACCATCTTGGAAGCAGAAAGCAGCCCTCTACACACCAAGTCTGCCAGCCAACATTTTGATCTTGGACTTTCCTGCCTCAAGAATGGTGAAAGAATAAATTTATAGTCTTTATAAATTAAGCAGTCTCAGGTATTTTGTTGTAGCAGCACAAATTGAATTGATACATACTTTGGAGTGTACTCTATGGCTCTGTGGAATTTTCTGATCCTGTATCATGCTCTTGTCTCCAAAGTATCTCGTTTACTCAGTTTAATGAAGATTTTTAAAAAAACCTCTTTAACACCCTGAATCATCTACCTCTCTACTTCAGTGTCAACATTTTTCATAACTGAAGTCCACATCTCTTTCCTTTATAGCCCTATCTCTGTTAAGGTGAAAACTCTTGTAAAATTACCTTTCTTTTCTGATTTGTTCATTGCTTAACCACACCACCTAGCCTGATATCTGATTAATGAGAAGCTTATTATAAAGAACTGTTTAATGCATAAATGGATTTGTGAATTCATATATTTCCATATTAATTTCAACTGTTCTTCCTTTTTTGTTCTTCAAATCTAATTTGTTTGGATTTTGTGAATGACCTTTCATATTTATCACTTGTGGTTCCACTACCTCAATAATAATTTACACCCTTATTAAATTTTTCTGTTGATATTGCAAAACCACCAATCATTTATTTTCCATTCTGTCTCATCTCATAAATTCTATCCAAAGCATCCTAATTAATATTCTAAGAGTGTAGGTCAAAATTTCAACCCAATAGTTATCCAATACAAACTAAAAAGTTGAAAAAAATGTACAAAAACTTTTAACTAAAGTTAATTGATAGAATCACTGTTTATCCTTCCTATATTTGTTTATTTACTAGCTTTTTCTATATCTTCTACAATTAACATGTATGCTTGCATAATACAATTAATAAAACATTCTTGATTTCTTTATATAGGCTTATCTATACATTGGTCATTAATGGAATAAATGAACTCAATGAATCATGAAAGACTAGAGAAAACATGCAATATCAACAGAAAAATTTAATAAGGGTGTAAATTATTATTGAGGTAGTGGAACCACAAGTGATAAATATGAAAAGTCATTCACAAAATCCAAACAAATTAGATTTGAAGAACAAAAAAGGAAGAACAGTTGAAATTAATATGGAAATATATGAATTCACAAATCCATTTATGCATTAAACAGTTCTTTATAATAAGCTTCTCATTAATCAGATATCAGGCTAGGTGGTGTGGTTAAAAATATATGTATGGTGTTTGGAAAAAATATATTTTATTGGGGAATTGATTAAAAGTTAATTTATAATGATTTAATAAATATATTATTTTTATCTGTTGTTGAAAACTTGTGAGGCAAAGCTTTTTCATTTTTTTTTTTACAAATATTGTTAATTTTAATGAAGTTGGTACAATGTTCATTTAAAACCCATATCCCAGGCCAAAAAGTACAAACAAAATCGAAAAGAGCAGTGTTTTGCTGTACACACTTCTGCATGAATAACTATATTAGATGATAAAGAAAATTAGAACTTTTCTGGGATTTTCTAACAAGATTTTTTTTTTTTATCTTAAAATGCCTTTTTTTCAATGAAGCCATCTTTGCAGTTAGTCATTACTCTCACCTGATCTGTCTTCTTGACTCCAGCCTAATATTCCTCTTCTTTTGATTCAGATCCTCAAATTTTAAAAGTAGCTTCTAGTTAAGGAAAGGTCATTTTCCCACAGTTCAGTTCTCTGAAAAATCTTCCATCTTCCACTGAAAGTCATGGTTCAGGAGTGAAGCAGTCACATGCTAGAACTTCAGGGCATTTTGGAAACTAATTAGTTTCCAAAATTATGAACTTGCATTGGTCAATCTTATTGATCTCACCACAAGCCTGGAATGCACAGTCCTGAAATAATGTGGCCTCTCTGTGGACACAAGTAATTTTTAAAAAGGACAGGGCAATATAAAAGGGACTGAGGTTTGATCACCAAAATCAGCACAACGAAAACAAACAATAATGAATAATGAACACTAGAATTCAAATTACCAGATGGTTTTAGGAGATAGGGCGCTAGTTTTCAATTCTGTTTTGAACACCACATTACAAAAGAACGATTTCTAAAAATAAAAAAGGATTGAGGGGAAAAAACAAAAAGAATATCTAAACTGTTGAGCAATCCCCACCCCCGTTAGTTCCTGATAAATTTCAATCACATCTTCTTCCTCCATTACCAGTTCTTTTGGAGTATGATTATCAGCAATTCTCTGACCTTCAAAGAGAAACCTGAGTGAATTCATTGGAACTCTCTGTCTTTGACAGTATGTTTCTCTGAGTTTCTTGAGATGTGTTGTCATTTTCACTTTGAAGTGAACCCCGCTGCTATCCTGTCCGATAACTTTTTTTTTTGAGTTGGAGTCTCACTCTGTCGCCCAGACTGGAGTGCAGTGGCCGCTCCCAGCCACCGCAGCCTTGACCTGCTGGGCTCCGGTGATCCTTCCGCCTCAGCCTTCCGAGAATTACAGGCATGCGCTACCACGCCCGGCTGATTTTTTGATTTATTGTAGAGATGAGGTCTCGCTGCCCAGGCGGGTCTCGAACCCGCGGGCTAAGGCAATCCACTCACCTCAGCCTCCCAAAGGTGCGGGATTACAGGCTGAGCCACTGAGCCCCGCTTGTCCGATAACTTGGAGTTTAATGTATCCTCCTTCCTTCTTATCTCCCAAGTCCTCAGTTGAAGGTTTGGCCTCCTGGTCAGACATGGTGGCAGAGTCTTTGCCTGGGCGTCTTTGCCCAGCAGCGGCCGCTGGCACTCAGGACCTCACTCTGGGATTATAAATCCATCTCCCATCTCCACAGTACAACACCGTTGCTTTTTTGTGTTGATTAGAAAACTACTAGAACATAGATCACAGTGCCCATTATGTTCTAGAAACTGTTTGACATATTAAGAATGCAGCCAAGTTCTCTGATGTCATGTATTTTTATTTAGTGAGGAAAAAAAAAAAACTTTAAGCAGAAAAATTATTAAATAAGGTAATTTCAGGTAGTGATGAAGAAGAAAATTGAACAGATGCAGGGGAAGAAGAATGCTAATTTAGACTCAATGGTCAAGAAGGGCCTTTCAAGTCAGGCTCGGTGGCTCAGCCTGTAATCTTGTGCCTTGGGAGGCTGAGGTGAGTGGATTGCCTGAGTCTGCAGGTTCGAGACCCGCCTGGGCAACTTGGCGAGACCGCATCTCTACAATGAATCAAAAAAATTAGCCGGGCGTGGTAACATGCGCCTGTAGTTCCAGCTACTTGGAAGGCTGAGGCAGAAGGATCGCCGGAGCCCAGCAGGTCGAGGCTGTGGTGGCCGGGAGCAGCCATTGCACTCCAGTCTGGGTGACTGAGACTCCAATTCAAAAAAAAAAAAAAGAAAAAAAGGAGGGCTTTTCTGAGATGTGAAGTTGAAGCCAAACCAGAATTACAAAAGAAAATCAGCCATGTAAAACTGAGAATATATAATCTAAGGAAAATGTTAAGATCTATGGTATATAATTCATTGCTCTATTTCTGTGAAAATAAAAATGATGTAAAATAGTTACTGCAAATTGCTTGGGGGCTTGGTGTGTTGAAGGAACAGAAAGAAGATTTATGGTAGTGTTCAGAAAGAGAAACAGAAAGAGAATGAGGAAGAGAGACTAGACAGAGTCAAGAGACTGGCCATGAGGGGGCTCTTAGCTTATGGTAAAAATACTCGATTACAAGTATAATGAGGATTCTTTAGAGGATTTTAAGCAGAGGAGTGACATAATCACATCTATGTTTTAATTCCTAACTGCTGCTTGGAAAATAGATTATAGAAAGACAAGAGAAGAAGCAGAGGAATCAGTTTGGAGACTGTGGCTGTTGTCTAGGAAAAATAACACAATCATCTGTTTATACAGAAGAGGAAAAAGCTCAAGATCATTGGATGGTTTCAGTGGTGGATCAGTGTATTTAAGTTTGTCACAAATGTCAAATTCTACAGAAATATTGCCTGTGTGGGGCCAATAGGTGAAAGTTTTTGCTTTATTTATTGAGATGTCTGGGCCCTGGAAAAAGAAAGAAGAAAGGTCAAAAAGTTCAGTGACAATACTATACAAAATTTAGCAGGGAGAATTTTATGCTTTTACTACTTCTGGCCTTATTTATGTGATGCTGAACATTGGAATTAGAAAAACATATATATATATTTTTTTCAATGAGTTCTTAAATGTTGTCAAACATCTGAATATTTAATGAAGTCTGAAAGTTAACGTGAAATAAATGATGAAATTTTATTTTTTTCAGAAATTTTTGATATTTTGGAGAAAGAAAATAATTATTTTTAAAATAATGTCAAATATAGAAAAAATATGACATTATCATATTTTTGCTTCTCCAAGGTGTTGATTTTGTGGACTTTGTTTTATAAACTCCTATATCTTATTTATAGGTTATGAAGTATTTTCAAAAGACCTAAAACAAACACATTTCTAAAGGTTTATGTATTCCCCATTAAAAAATCATTTGTGATATTTTTCATTCTTTTTCCTTTGACTAACTTTGACTCGTCATTCCTGAAAATTAATGGAACTCGGTCAGCTGAACTTTTCTCAATTCACGTTTCACATTTCTCTACTTTGGTTTTCCTGACAAACATAGAATTATATGATTTATTTGAAAGGAATAAAATGATCTCACACATGGCATACATAAATACATGTTGAAAAAAAAGCCTAGAGAAGAATAAAATATCTAATAGACGACACTGATCAATGATACTGAAGGATCACAGTGGGGATTTCTGACCTATGTAGCACCAAGGCATTGATTCAGCAAGCGGGGGTTGCTTGGTGTGATTTAAAGCTGCCAAAGTCTCTCTCAATCCCTACTCTCTTTTTCCAGTTACAATAATGGACCAGGAAATGGACTTTACAGATCTAATCCAACTTCCTTATTTTTCCAATTGGAAATACAAGATCCAATGTCTTGCATGATGCAAGTAGATAACACTAGTACCAAGGTACTGCAGACTGAGTTACACTGAGAAGAAAATTAGCATGCAGGAAATTTATTGGTGAGTACTCAACATACATGGAGGAATGAAGGAAATAGAATCAGGCAGAGAAAGAAGTTGAGCTGCAATGCAGTCACAGCAGCTCTAGATTGGTTTTGGCTCCAGAACTCTAGGTGTGGGATAGTTTTGCAGAGTAAGACAAGGTGATTTTTATGAACCTATATCCACCAGCTGTGATATTCAATAGCTGTGGGATACAGGCTGTCCTTAAGAAAAGGGGGCAGGAGAGACATGACTCACCTCTCTTCAGCCAAGGGCAATCTCTGAAGTAGTGTGTTTCTGTTTTACTGGAGCTTGGTGTGACATCTGAAAGTTGCACTGTGAGTCCATTAGACCAGATCTCCTGATCTCTGATTCTTGCTGTCAGTCTGCTGAAATGTCCTAGAGGCAGAACTTAGCCCTGAAACATAAATACCCAATAGATGTTAGAACTCTTTTGCCCCTCCCCCAACTCCCAGCTATTACTGTGGATTAAGACACATCTTGGAAGAGCCTCTTAAATAGGTCTTTTGTTGAAGGCTTGTCTATTGAAGTCCTGAGTGACTCAGACACAACAGCAGTAAATGGATTAGTGAGGCCTGAGGAAGACCAAGTGTGTGAAGTCTGCTCTGAAACCTGAAAGAAGCATGAATACCTCACAGATGAGTGCGCTTTCTCCCTGAAAATTTTAAAAGAACAGCTCTGGCACATATGAGAGATGTCTCAGTGCAATATGAAGAACCTGAAGTAGATAGATCTGGCCCTGTACAGTTATGAGCCACATAACAACATCTCAATCAACGATGGACCACATGTACAACAGTGGTCCCCTAAATTATGATGGAGCTGAAAAGTTCTTATCACTTAAGGATCTTGTAATCATCATAACATCACAACACAATGAGTTACATGTTTATGATGATGCTGGTGTACAAAAACCTACTGCACCACCAGTAATATAAAAGACTAGCACATACAATTTCGTACAGTACATAATACTTGCTGATGACCATAAGTGACTACGTTATTGGTTTGTGTATCTAATATATTATGTTTTATTGCTATTTTAGAGTGTACTCCATATATATATGTATAGAGAGAGAGAGAAGGAGAGAGAGACAGAGAGAGAGAGAGAGAGAGAGAGAGAGAGAGAGAGAGAGAGAGAGAGAGAGAGAGAAAGCAGTCTCAGGCAAGCAGGCAAGTCTTTCAGGAGGTATTCCAGTATTCCAGAAAAAAGCCTTGCTATTTCTGGAGATGACAGCTCCATGCATGTCACTGCCCTTAAAGACCTTCAAGTAGAAAAAGATGTGGGGATAGAAGATAGTGATATTGATGTTTCTGATCTTGTATGGGCTTAATATGTGTTTGTGTCTTAGTTTTTAATTAAAAAGATTAAAAGTAAAAGAAAATTTAAAAAATTAAAAACAGAAAAAATTTATGGAATAAGAATATAAAGGAAGAAATATTTTTGTACAGCTGCACAATGTGTTTGTGTTTTAAGCTATGTTATTACAAAAAAGTCAAAAAGTTAAAAAATTCATAAGCTTATAAAGGAAAAAAGTTACAGTTAGGCTAAGATTAATTTATTATTAAAGAAAGAAAATTAAAAAAAATAAATGTCATATAGCCTAAGCATAAGTGCTTCTGAAATCTATAGTAATGTTTTAGGCCTTAACATCCATTCACTACTCACTCAGTGACACTCAGAGAAACTTCCAGTCCTGCAAACTCTATTCATGGTAAGTGCCCTATAAAGGTGTATTGTAATTTATCTTTTATACGACAGTTTTACTATAACTTTTCTATGTTTAGATATGTACAATTACTTACAGTATTCAGTACAGTGACAAGCTGTACAGGTTTGTTGTCTAGGAGCAACAGGCTATACTATATAGCCTAAGTGTGTAGTAGGCTACACCATCTAGATTTATGTAAGTACCCTCTACAATTTTCACAGAAGGACAAAATTGCCTAACAACACGTTTCTCAAAACTTTTCTCTCTTGTTAAGCAACACACGACTGTACTTGCATGTTTAAATCTAAACAATGCCTGGTGGGCATGTGAAGAGGGCTGCTGGAGTAAGTTTTCTAGCAAGAGAGATTGGAGAGTGAAGAACATAAACTTAAACCCAGACCATCTCCTATAACTTGTTCTCAAAGAAAAATGCAAGGAGAAAACAAAAGAAAGCTTGATAGTCACTGGTTAAGAATAAATACATAACTTTAGTTTTAAAAATAAGTTATTAGTAGATTGAATTTAGCCTTTCAAAATGCCTTAACTACTTTGTGTTGGTAGCCCCATATAATCCATGTGTACATATGCAAAGTCGATGGCAGAAGATGCTGCCACAGAGAATATTTCATATTAGTTGAGTTGATATTATTTTCAGGGTGTGGATAAGCAAACATTATACCACCAAGACCGAAGGTGAAAGGTAATTCTATCAGTCACATGAGCTACTGTCACAGCTCTAAAGCAAGGTATGGGAAATTTTGATGAAACACTTTCACTGATTTATCCATCATGTTGTGAAGTGTCTCAACTTGAAATATAAAATATGAGCCATTTCCATATTCTATAATATTCTACATGACTGACATGAAGTCAAATATATTAATCTGATAAATTCAAATGTGTTTCTTCTATTTTTCCCTACCTCATTTGATCATTTTTCTCCTCATCTCAGGTCTTCTAGGCCA